AATTACAGGCCTCTCTCATCTTTTTAAGTGGGAGAACTTGCACAATTGGTGGCTGACTAAATACTTTTTTGCCCCACTGTATATACAGTATAACTTCCAATCATTCCCTCCATTTCCTTGTCAAACACAACTACATCTGCAAGAAAACAACCAAGCTCAGAGAACACCAAGGAGTCCATACAACTTTGGTCTTTAATACATTAATTTTAAGGTTCATTCTTAAATTAATTTTAAGGTTCATTTCTTGTTAGTCATATAGTGATTCTGTAAGCAAATCACCTCCATATTTTAATATTTTTCCACGATCTGCACATGCAACATTATCAGTTTTTGTCTGCACAGTATTTCTGATTCCTTTTCTTCATTTTTTTCTTGGACACTAACATTTTAGCATTCATTTCAGTTCTGCTCTGAAGTATTATTTTCATTCCCATAAAAATTTCTAAAATATACCTTCCAGCATTTTCTCACTACAGTTTCATCCCAAATCATTTGCTCACTTAAATCCTTAATTCCATTCATTCTGTTAGTGGTCCCCTGTTTAGCTATTTTCACAACTGTTCAGAACAGTTTTTATTTCTATCAAAATCACACTGCATTTTCTCTTTCTCTTTTAATTTTAGCCATTCTTTTCTCTCTTTTGACTACAGTTATTTATCACATTCATCTTTGTAATTATATTTTCCTCTTTACAATATTGTTCTCAATCTTTTTCAACAATCATTTTTCCCACAAGCAAAGTCAATGGGGAAGCCAGCAGGAGGTTGCAACTCGCTCCCACCAGTTGCTTCTGCTCCCACTTTTTCACTCACCTGCCCGCACTCTGCAGTGCCAGCCCACAGCACCTGCCTGCCTGCAGTCTGTACTACACCTGCCTCCTCCCTGCCTGCACACACACTGTACTGCCCACGAGCAGCACCTGCTTGCCTGGATTCCTGCCTCTTCTCACATCGCAGTCATGTGAGGTCCATGCTTAATGACCCACATGGTCCTCGGGTTATAACAACAACCAGGACTGCCAGGATTGCTATTGCTAAGTGATGTGGTAACGTGACATCATGGTTTACAACTGCATCACTTAGTGATGGAAATTCCAGCCCCAATTACTGTTGTCACTCCGGTGGGAGGAAAAATGCTGGTGGTGCCTTGCAAAAGGAGTCAGGAGCAGTTGCCGGTAAGCGCGAAACCACGCTCGCCCGGAAAAAAAAAAAAGGGCACGAAGCAACAGAAACCCCGCCTCCTGCGCTCGCAAGCTGGGCTCTGCTCTAGGAAGGAGGCACTGGCAAACCACTTCCGAAAA